GGAGACAACGACCAAACCTAAAATGTCATCTTGGTCTTTATATTCATGATATAATACAATAAGTTTTAGAACATTAAGTACAATGTAGGACCCAGGCAAATCCGAAATACTGCTTACTTGATTTAGTCTATCTATTTCATGCTCTAATCCAGCTGCCCTGTCCTCTTCAAAGCGTGCAGACCGATCACAACGACGAACTTCGTCCTCTATGGATTCTACTAAGAGGTTAATGTTATGTCGTAAGACAGGCACGTCAAAAAATGTGCCCTCAATGCGCCGCAACTTCTTAACACCTTGAGCATCCGGACCTGTTTCATCTTGATCGTCTATGGTCATGTTTCTTTGGGTAGTTATTCGGGAGAGAGCAGCTTCATACCCAGTATACACACGTTGTTCTCGACTTGTCATATCTATTACTTTCACTCTTGACATTTCGCTTAAAGTGTACAGAAAAAATATTGTGATAGGTTGGTAAATTTTAAATAAAAATCACAAATAAAAGAACGTTGAACCATACGAGATAAAAGAATTTAGTGAATTACCTGTTCTCCAGAAACGGTCCCTGCTTTTTTGTAATAGTACTATGGACAGGTGGGGCAATACCAGATATTATTTCGTCAATTGTCTTGTATGCAATACGCGATGTATTAGTAGTATCGGTTTTCTTTTTATAACGAGGATAATCTAAAAAATAAGCAATAAGAAAAGATGCTTACTATCTGCATCGACAGAGAGCCTTTTTGAGTCTTCTTTTTTTATTTGATCACCTTTTCTCGGGGCCTGGGAAATCTCTGACCCCATATAGCCAATAGATCCTTTGCCAATGCGCAACTTTGTCTCCACGGGCGTGACGATACCTTGACCTTGCCTACCAAGTCCTTTTCCAGGCTCAAAGCCCATTTGCTCAAGAAGTTTTATACCAATGCCCTTAGTGTGTTTCTCCCAAGATCCAAATGTCGCACCAGCTGAACTGGCTTGCGCGAGTCTAACAGCTCGATTAAGAAAAACACGACTTCCTAAAAATGGATTATTAGCAGCATTTTTTAGTTTATGACGGGGCTTTAAGTCGATTGAATCATCCTCATCACTGGATTGAGCAGTAAGTTGTTTTGCGAAGAACTGTTTATCTTCTTCTTCATCAGAAAATTTGTCATCGAGAGGCTGGGATTTCTGCTCCTCAGAGGAATCGTTCTTAGTGCCGCCCTTCAAAAAAATTTAAATACAATTAAGGAGGTAATAGTAATAAGCAAAAGGTTGTTGCAAATCTTAAAATAAGGCACACA